ACGTTGGTTCTGTCCTCCACGACGAGTGCGTCGTTGTACTTCTTGTTGTTCATACGTGGATGTCAAAACATCAACACGTGCTGGCTCTGTCTCTCCAACATCAACACGTAATGGTTCAGTTCTTCCAAATGAAAAGAAACCATGACCAGAACTTGATGCCGCAGAAGAATAATGAGCTTGTTGAGTTTGTTGATTCTGTATGGAAGGACTTGATGTGGATTGAGGTTGAACATAGTTCGACTTGCCTTTTCCATCTCCTGGCTTTCCTCCTTTGCCATCATCATCCTTGCCTTTCTTGCCTTTCTTTCCTTTTCCTTTTCCTTTCCTCTGGAAGTATCCATACTCATCCATGTAGTACAGATCATCATAGGCCCAATAGCCTTCATTCCAGGTTTGATCATCGGCCCAATAGCCGTCATAGTTTTCATTCCATTCTTCTTCTTGCCAATCTTCTTCATAACCTTCTTCACTCACCATGTGAGCACGGCCTTTCCTTCTTCCTTTTCCTCGGCCTTTTCCTTTCCTTGATCTGAAGAACCTTCGTCCTCCTCTGCCTTTTCCTTTTCCTTTTCTCTTTCCTTTACCTTTGCCTCGTCTGATGTGTTTGCCTTGGAACCTTCTCTGATACCATGTGTAGTCAGCGTCATCATATACCCAGAAAACATCTTCTAAAGCATCCAGGAATCCTTCTGCGCCGTCTTCATCATCTTCGGCCCAATAGCCGTCGGTTCCTTCTAAATCACCTTCATCCAGTACGAGGAAAGATCTTCTCTGTGCCATGCCAGAGGGTTGCATCAATGGATTGTCAACTGCTGTTTTGGTAGTGCAAAACATTTCCAAAAACAGATCACGTAGTTCTTGAATGTTGTATCGATCGAGGGTTCGTCCACGATGTGTCATGATACTTGTGAGTGTGTTTCTCTGATCCTGTGTCAGGTCTGCTAGACTTACAAAAGTCAATGCTAGCAAATTTTCACACAGTGGGAATGCTTGTCTCTGAATTTGTCTACGATGTTCTTGATACTGTTTGAATGCCACCAATGCCAGTTCATCCGACCAAGGAACAGGTACATGAGGAGCTGTTCCTGAGGCTGCTGCTACTTCAGCTCTTTCTTGTTGATCTCGATCATGTTCTTGACGTTTTTGTGCAACAAACAGGATTGCTTCAGGACTAGTCACTGTTGCTTCTGGAAGTAAATCCATCCAAGACTCAATAAGTCTATTGCCAGTGAGTTGAAATCTAGTCATCCACTTCTGAAGATCCATAGTTCCTCTGTTGTACTTCATGAACTGCATGAAACGGTATAAAAAACACGTTTTGGGCACCTTTGATGAAATGAGGTCGTAGAAATCTTTTGAAATAGTTCACTCCTTCCTGGGGATCCCTGAGCATCTCTCTATCCAATAACCTCTTGTATTGTTGAGCATCTCCTTCCAGTCTATTGCGCAAGGCTGGACCACGTTTCTCAGGTTCTAACTCCGTGATGTCACACCAGTCATCAATTGCATCCTCAAAAGCAAAGAAACTAGTTCTCCCATCATATGCTGGAGCTACCTTTGTGGTCATTTGTTGCGTCATGTGAATCTGTGTCTGCTGGGGTGCTATTCTCATTGCATAAGTGAGTCATATTGGTTCCATTCATCTGCATCGACAATGTCGAAGTCATCATCATCATAGCCATGGCGTGCCATTGCTTGGGCTCTACATGGAGCTCACCCTCAATGAGGGATCACAGCTCCGCTACCACTTGAAGAGGGGCCCTAGCGTCTACTTCAAGATCAGCTAAGGCGTCTTCCCCAATGACAGCACTCTTTTACTCTCAGCCTGTTGCCGGTCAGTGCTTGTCCACAGGGTTACTCTATATACCTCTTGAGCCTTGAAGGGCGCATATAAATGTGCTCATGTACCTCTGTAGGTATTAGGTCGGAACAAAAACAAGGGCGCAGCGCCTCCCCCCCAAAGCAGATTGGAAACACCTATTTTCACATGCAAGGTGCTGGGTTGAATGTGATACTCAAGGTGTATAGACTACACGACATGCACCCTGGAAAGATGTGGAATACAGATAAGGCACATGGTTTTCATTGTTTTTCCGAAGTTTTCATTTATTTTTGGAAATACACGATGTGCAAACTACAAATTGTAGATGTAAAAAGGTATATGCATGACTAATCATGACTATATGTATATGTAGATCAGTGCGTTTACACGTGTATTTAATATATATATGCAGGGTTTGGTTTAGGGTTTATTTAGGGTTTGCGTATATAAGCCAAAAGCCAAAAGCCAGGTGAAGCCAAAGCCAAGAGCCAAGTGAAGCCGAAGCCAAAAGGTCTTATTTTCCTGCGTTCATTTCCCGAAGCATGGAATACGTAGTTCAACTATCATTATGTATCTTTTCTTTACGTATATTAAGGGAAATAAGAGTCTTATTTCCCTTCTTTCCCGTAACATGGAGTAGTTCAAAACAATGTAGCCCAGAGCCAAGTGAAGCTAAAACCAAACGCCAAAAGCCAGGTGAAGCCAAAGCCAAAAGCCAAGTGAAGCCAAAAAGCCAAAAGCCAGATTATGTCTTTTCTTGACTTATCGAGGAGATAAGGGGCCACAGAAAGCCAAAAGCCAGAAGCCAAGTGAAGCCAAAGCCCAAAGCCAACAGCCAAAGTGAAGCCAAAGCCAAAAGCCATGGCCCAAAAAAGCTAAACGCCAAAAAGCCAAAAGCCAATAACCAAAAGCCAATAACCAAAAGCCAAGAGCCAAAGTGAAGCCAAAAGCTAAAAGCCAAAAGAAAGCCCGAGCAAAGCCAAAAGCCAAAAGCCAAAAAGCCAAAAGCCAAAAAGCCAAGTGGGCACTTGAAGCCAAAAGCCAAGTGGGCGCGCAAATGAGAGATCCTAGCTCCAAAATGCATGCAAAACACAGATTTTAGCTCCAAAGAGCAGCAAATAGCAGGGAAAGCTGCTCCAGACTGAAAAACAAAAAACATCCTTAAAAAAATATACCCTCCATAAAATAACCTAAAACAAAGCCATATAACCTAAAGAAAGGTTATATAGCAACCTAAGAAATTATCTAAATAGTTAGGATATAACCTATAACCTAAAAGGCTAAAAATAACCTAACCTGATCTTAGGGGCAATGAACTTCGATGGGTCTGTCGCTCCGCCGTTGGCGAAAGCAGGGCACAAGCACGCGCCAGCCTCATCTGAGTGGATGGTAAGGTACCCTTCACAGAAACGAAGTTTCTCTCGCGCAGCGGCAGTAGTGCTTCCCTGCAAGAGGGCAGAGACAATGCGCAGCAACCAGAAGCTATGAATTCACGCAAAATACTTTGACGAATGAAAGACTTACAACTCAAGTGACATCATGTTGGAACATGTACTCGAAAACTAGGTTTGTCGGCGGCCCCGGCCTGTTGCAGATGAAATTGATCGCCCGGCGATGCCCGGCGAGCCAACAACAAAAGCAGAATTTTGCTGCAAGGCAGCTTCCAAAGCTTCCACAACAGGTGTCATTGCTGGAGACTTGCCTTCCGCGACATTCGCTGTCCCAACCATCCAGTACCGGTTTTTGGTTTGGTACCGTTCTGTGAGCTGGACGTACGTTCGTTTGTGCACCACTGCATTGCAAAAACTTTGTACCAAGTCTACCCAGAAAACTAATGGGATGGCAGTAGCACGCGCTGTGGCTTCAAGCAAAACGACCAAGGGGTACACTGCAGTGCCACCAATCCAAGGCACGACCTCGAGAGCAGCATGGCTGTTGACACGATCCAAGCACAGATCTGCGACTTGCGCTTGGTAACGCTCAGCAATGGTGTTCAAAGCGCTTTCCAACTCTGGAGCAAACAGCGGTAGGCCTGACAAGAAAGCAACACAATCTCCGCCAGATTCATAGCCTTGTAAAAGAGCCAACGCATCTTTGCCTAAGACTTCATGCCCATGCTTCACGGTTCTGCTTCCATTTGTCTTGAATCGGAGAAAACAGCACCGTCCTGACGCAACTGGAAATGTTTCAGTGGTAGATAGTGGTAGCAAGCTGGGTTATTTTTCCAAAACAGAAAGCCGGCATAAGGTTCGAGAATCCAAAATGGAAAGAAAGGACAAGGAAAAGTCTTTGGCTCTGACCTCATTCGCATTGTCCATGGCCGCGTCAACAAGCGCAGCAGATGGGAGCGCAGCAGCGGGCAAGTCTTTGGCCCTGACCTCATTGGCATTTTCCATGGCCACGTCAACCAGCGCAGGAGATGGGAGCGCAGAAGCGGGCAAAGTGGATGGAATGGAAAGACGCGCGGCAGAGGTTGGCACCCGTTCATACAAGAAGTAGCAAGCATGGGTTTGCAAAGATCGCGGCTCAGAAGGCAAACGTTTGGGCTTGTCTCCATCGTTGTGCTGCAACCAAATCCCATCACTGTCAAGACTGGACAAACGCAACATAGTGGCCACTGTGGAAAGCTTCACCGCGATGTAGCACTGCTGCGCGAAGACAATACGTGAACTCGCCATGGTCGAACTGAGGGGGAGCAAACACGGCAGTTCGATTCAAAGGTAATCCGACCCCTGTTTCCCACACTAGTTGCAGCAGCGCAACAGCGCCAAGATCCCAGGTGGAAGAGGCGTGCAACGATGTCATAGTGTTGCACAGTGGACACGGTAGGCCACCACCAGAAACTTCGTCTTGCGATTCTAACAGATTCGGCAGAGCGCTATCGAACGGCGGAAGTGGGAGCAACGCAACAGCATGTCGAACCGGCGCAGCATCAGGCCTCCTCCTCCTCCTTCTCCTCCTCCTCTCACCGGCCACTGTCGCAAAAAACACCGACCACTGGCGCAAAAAACACCATTGTGGGGGCACCGTCGCAAAAAACACTGGTTACCGGTCAAAAAAACACCGATCAACATAACCGTCTGGAAATACACCGGTTACAGTCGCAAAAAACACCAGTCCCCGAAAACGACATTTTTTAAAAAACGTTGTTTTTACGAGCACAGTTTCCGGTCCGCCGGGAAAAACCTGCACAGGTTCAATTCCCCATCTTTGGCGCGGTCTTTTTACTCCGAATGTTTCCAGTGCCAAAGCAATTTGCGGCTTCCGACCGTCCGCTACGGGAACGTCGGAGGCAAACGCGCGCCGATCACGGCTCATGAACACGGCACTTGTTGCCGTCTGGTTTTTAGCTCCCCCCACACGGCAAGACTTCCTTGCAAGTTTCACCTCCCCTCGGGTTCATTCCACATGTCTCCATATGAGAATGAGTGGCAGAACGGTTGCCGGTCATGGTGCATGTCACGCACGTATTGCAATACTCCGTGCAGACCGTCGAGGAGCAAATAGCTGCGAGAGCTTCATCCACGGAGGTATAGACTTTATCTTCGCCACACCCTTGCAAGTAGACGGAAGTTGCGAAAACGCCGAGCACGACCTACAACAGAACATGAGATCCTTTGAAGATATACATTGGCAATTGCATGACCGTTCGGAAGCTGGTTGCTGTGCTAGTTTCTGGTTGCAGCAAGCAAAACCATCCACCAACCAAGTACATACAAATACATCCGACCTGGATGAGCTTCATGATGGCCCCAAGCGTTGGAAAAGGTCGACAGTCGGTGCAAACTTGGCACTTTCGTGGCACGTCACAGTTGCTTGCGCAAAATCTTGCGGGTGGCAATGCGAATTCTGCAAACATGAATCAATCAAAAGAAAAAAACGCAGTGTGCAGAGTCCCTGCAACATTCAGTGGCAGTAGCAGTTGTCACAGCCTGTCTGCAATCCAATAACCTGTCAGGTATTGTGCTTCAAATTTTGGAAGCTATTTCAACCGTTTGGAATTGGCTGGCCTTCAGAGCAACTGAATTTGTAGGACTGCATATGGTTGCATTGCTTTTTATAGCGTGGCTCACTTCCGCATAATCTCACATGCACTGCCATCACACTAGAGGATGGAACACATCTATGAATCATCTGGTTGGTTGATGAATCCACGACCCAAAGGTTCATTAAGTGTCTCCGGAACCAGGTAAGAGTTGGAACCATGCCTTTTGCAGGCCAAGCTTGCAACCATGCAAACGCGCTTTGGCGAGGGCTTGATAAGCAATAGGCATGGCCAAAGCAACCTGTGCAGCTGCCATCCACTTCGCCAGGCGGCAGTTTTCGCCAGGCAAAGCCCAACCAGCGTCAGTGCCATCATCCATACCATACAGCTTTAACTGCTATAGCCGAAGGAAGTTTAGAAGTCAAACTTCCGACAATATGGACAGATGAAAAGCAGACATGGGAAGAGTCAGAGAAGAGAAAAGAAGAAGAAAGAAAATCAAAACAAGATGAAGCCCACGAACCCGAATGCTCACACGTATGTTAATGGTACAGATGTCAAAACACATGGTTATGCAGTCACGCACAATACCTTTCTGCAATAGTTTATTTGAACAGTCTTGTATATACATGTTTCCCTTGTTACCAGTCATCAGTGTGGAGTGGAAAGTCTAGAGTGCGGAGTGTGGAGTGTGAAGTAAGGAGTGTGGAGTTTAAAGTGTGGAGTGGGGAGTGTAGAGTGTGTAAAGTGTAGAATGCGGAGTGTAAAGTGTAGAGTGTGGAGTATGGAGTGTAAAGTGTAGAGTGTGGAGTGTGGAGTGTAAAGTGTGGAGTGTGGAGTGTAAAGTGTAGAGTGTGGAGTGTAAAGTGTGGAGTGTAAAGTGTGGAGTGAGGAGAGTAAAGTGGAAAGCGTGGAGTGTAAAGTGTAAAGTGTGGAGTGTAGAGTGTACAGTGTAGAGTGTAAAGTGTAGAGTGTGGAGTGTGGGGTGTAAAGTGTGGAGTGTAAAGTGTAGAGTGTGGAGTGTAAAGTGTGGAGTGTAGAGTGTGGAATGAGGAGTGTAAAGTGTGGAGTGTGGAGTCTAAAGTGTGGAGTGTGGAGTGTAAAGTGTGGAGTGTGGAGTGTGAAGTGTGGAGTGTAAAGTGTGGCGTGTGGAGTGTGGAGTGTAAAGTGTGGAGTGAGGAGTGTAAAGTGTGGAGTGTAAAGTGTGAAGTGTAAAGTGTGGAGTGTGGAGCGTAAAGTGTAGAGTGTTGAGTCTGGAGTGGAAAGTGTAGAGTGTGGTGTGTAGAGTGTGGAGTGTGGAGTGTGGAGTGTAAAGTGAGGAGTGTAAAGTGTGGAGTGTGGAGTGAGGAGTGTAAAGTATAAAGTGTGGAGTGTGGAGTGCACAGTAAAGTGTGGAGTGTGGAGTTCAGAGTGTGGAGTGGAAAGTGTAGAGTGTGGAGTGTGGAGTGTAAATTGGGGAGTATGGAGTGTAGAGTGTGGAGTGTGGAGTGTAAAGTGTGGAGTGTGGAGTGCACAGTAAAGTGTGGAGTGTGGAGTTCAGAGTGTGGAGTGGAAAGTGTAGAGTGTGGAGTGTAAATTGGGGAGTGTGGAGTGTAGAGTGTGGAGTGTGGAGTGTAAAGTGTGGAGTGAGGAGTGTAAAGTGTGGAGTGTAGAGTGTAAAGTGACGATTGTAAAGTGTGGAGTGAGGAGTGTAAAGTGTGGAGTGTGGAGTGTAAAGTGTAGAGTGTGGAGTGTAAAGTGTAGAGTGAGGAGGGAGGAGTGGAAAGTGCAGAGTGTAGTGTAAAGTGTGGAGTGTGGAGTGTAAAGTCTCAGGTGAGGAGTGAGGAGTGTAAAGTGCAAAGTGTAAAGCGTGGAGTGTAAAGTGTAGTGTCTACGAGTGTGGAATCTAAAGTGTAAATTGTGGAGTGTGGAGTGTAAAGTGTAGAGTGTGGAGTGGGGAGCTTCCCCCATAGACACGGCGACGCCACAGGAAAACCAGAGACTCGAGACAAGACACGTGGATGCAGAAAAACCAGCATTTCGTACGAGACTTCCTCCAATTTTGACATCACATTATCAAACAGGTTGGAATGTCACAAAGTGCCACGCCTGCCACGCAAAACGGCATGACAACTTGCTTGGACACATTCGAAGAGGAGAGGTTTTCCAGCTTCCCGCATAGACACGGCGACGCCACAGGAAAACCAACGACTCGAGACAAGACACGTGGATGCAGAAAAACCAGCATTTCGCACGAGACTTCCGGCAATTTTCACAGTTGGCAACATGACAAAAGGAGAAGTTTTGCAGCTTCCCCCATAGAGACGGCGAGGCCACGGGAAAACCAGACACGCGAGACGAGACAGGTGGGAGCAGCAAAACGAGCATTTCGTGCCAGACTTCCTCCAATTTTCACACTTTGTAGCTTCAAAATCAACGTTTTCCTACGAGTTTTCCTACGAGTTTTCCTTAGAACCCGAAAATTTGCAACCTCAAAATCAATGTTTCGTGCGAGGCTTCCGTCAATTTTCAGCACATCGCACAAAATGCCACTACGGCCACGGAATTTGCACCTTGTCGCTACTTGACGCAGCCCTGCCAATGCGATTTGCAAAAAACACGCAACACAACACGTCTAAAGTGCTGCGCCTGCCACGAAAAATGAGGATGGACACGTCCAAAGTGCTGCGCCTGCCACGAAAACTGCAACACATCTTCTGACAACGTCGCAAAAGTATTGCACCTGCCACGCAAAACGATTTTCGACACGTTCCAGAACACGTCTGAATGTCACGAAGTGCCACGCCTGCCACGCGAAACGAAGCAACGACTTGTCTGAAACCGCCAAAAAGGACCACCTCTGCAAAACTTCCCATAGGCACGGCCATACGGGGATCGCGCGGACGGTTGCGGACGGTTGCCTCTAAGCTGAGTTAAGGCAGAATCCTTTACCTTAAGGTAGATCATAACCTTAAGGTAGAATTTTACCTTTAAGGTAGAACAGTAAATAACCTTAAGTTAAGGTTATTTGGCTTAGTTACCTTAAGGTAAGCCAATCTACCTTAAGGTAAATAGGTTAAGTTACCTTAAGGTAAACCAATCTACCTTAAGGTAAATAGGGTAAGTTACCTTAAGGTAAACCAATCTACCTTAAGGTAAATAGGTTATGTTACCTTAAAGTTGTTTATCCAACCCATGAAAATCAAACAAAAAAGTTCTTATTAGTTTGCCTTTAGATGTTTTTTAATCTGTGCTTTCTATTTTTTGCTGTGCTGGGATCTGATTTCCCACACATGCTACTTAGCAGAAATGCTTGTGACTTCACAAATATTATTTAACACAAGTGCTACTTAGCAAATGTTATTAGACAATTTGTTGCATAGCAGACCTTGCCACTTAGGAACATTGAATGGCCACAGCCCACAAACTTTGAGTGCCCAGCAAACAAAGCAGTGCCAGCAGCCACACTTTTTTCCATCACAAACTGCTCAAGTGAAGGTGCATGGCAATTCGAACCTTGCTGATCACCTTGGCAGTGACTTGAGGTCCTTTAAGACCTCTACAGCAACTTCTTGCCAATGTTCTCTGAACTGACATGTAGTCTTCCAGTCTGAAGCACCAAGTCAATCTTGGATTGAGCACATCACTGGTAAGCACACTATGAAGCCATGTATGGATCTTGGGAATATCTGAAAAAAGTGCGACTTCCTCATCCAAGAAGCTTTGGGCCAAATCCCTGTGCAATTGTGCCATTGCGAAACTCATTGTCTTAAATTTGGAGGAAGCTTCAGGTCCCAAAGCCAAAGCTTCTGCATTTTCTTGAGAATTTTTTCTGTGAGCATGTTCATCTTGAGCCAAGTTTTGATTTTTTTGTGCACAGGGTTGGCAGCATCCATGTTTTCAACCCAGAGATGAAACATAGGCACTGCTAAGGAGGCCACCTGGGCAGCCCTCCCTTTCAGCTTTGGACCCCCCTTCTTTCTTTCAAAGATGGACAATTTTGACATGCCCCGATATCTGTCAGAAATTTTCTCATCCTTGTAAACAGCTGAAAATTTGGACCAGCATGCCTGCAAGTTTGCCAATGGTGAAGCATCTGGTAAAATTTTGTAGCAGAGAAGCCACAAGCAAGAAGCAAGGAACACCATGTCTGTGCCAAGGTACTTGCTGTGCATGAAATCATAGCATACTGCCACAGCTGATAGCCCTGGCAATTGCTGAAAAAGAGGACAAGAGGATTTGTTTTCCCACATGTGCCATGTGGCTTCCATTGTGATTGGATCCAAGGTGCTGTCAACCGACAATCTTTCCAAGACATTGCTGAGGAATCACCTGTGCACTTGCACAAAGAGCAAGGGCCACTTTTGGAACTATAGTGAGGCAATTTCAATACTTGGGTTAAATATTCCAAATCACCCACCAAAGACCACAATATCCCACAATATCCACCAGCAAGGTTTTGTCCAGCTCTCTGACCTTCCTGTGTATTGGCTGCATATTTGTTTCCCAAATGGTCAGAATCTGGGAAAACACCAAGCTGCAGCCATTTAAATGACCAAGCTAAGATTTGCCAGAACTCAGCAAGTGTGGTAGAGGCCATAGTTTCATCAAAGCAAGACCACACCTGCATTTGCATTGATTTGGTGCTGCCCACTCCAAGTAAACTGTTCCAAGACCAAGTTGTTAGCTGCCTGCTCCACACTTTGCCAATTCCCAGCACAGGGGTGCCATCACCATGCAAAGCCAGCGGCACCATTTTGGTAGGAAATTGAGGGTTGCCACCCAAAACTGCATGTCCTGGGTATGCAGGGTGCTTCTTCTGCAAGTTCCAAAATGTTTTGAGCTGGTCCTGGCTTGGGCAAATGATTGTGTCCCAGGCATTCTTGTAGCAATGATATATTTGGCTGAACACCAAATGTGGCAAAAGCATCATCTGCACAAGCTTGTTGTAAGGTGGCTTGAAAGTAATGCTTGGCATAAAAGCTCTTGGCAGCAAACAAGCTTTGTTAGCGAAGTTCAGCAAAGCCTTGTGCATATTTTGCCTTGGCTGCTGGTTGGTGGCAAGAGAAAAAACAAACCATAAAACTACAAAACAGCTAGAAAACATTGCTTAGAAGACAAGGGGCTTGTGGGCACCTGAAGTTCCCATGGAAGCCAAAAATGCAATGTCTTCAGGTGGAACAGCCCCAGCCTTTTCAAAATCATGTTTGGATCTCTGTGCCAAGTCTTGCACTTCCTGTGGGCTCATTGTCCCCCAGGCCCATCTTTCCAGCAAAGATGTCCCAAGCTCTGATGAAGCAAGCCTGGTTGTGGTTGGTTCTTCTCCTGCAAGCCTTTGCCTGATGCCACCCTTTCTCCTTTTCTTTGTCAAGGGCTCACCAGACATACCCATGGCTGAAGCAAAGGGCACTAAGCTATGCACTGTCAGAAAGGAACAAAGATTGAACAGCTTCACCATGGACATGTTGGTGGGCATGCTTTGTTGGGAAGCAGACAGTGGAAACTTACATTCGCACAGCAACCACAATCAAACATGTCACATGAATACCAAAAACTCTTGAGCACAAGAACCATCCACAACCAAACATGTCACATGAATACCAAAAACTCCTGAGCCCAAGGTCTATCACACCACACCACCAATTCTTGCCGAGAAGCTTGGAAACCATTATGGGTGCAAAAAATCAACTGGGAACCCAAAACTATTGGACAGCAAGTTGCATGGCACTTGAACACCAAATGCCACTGAGACTGCAAATGCTACTTAGGCTTCAAATATTACTTAGGCTGCAAATGCTACTTAGGTTCAACATGCTACTCACATGGCAAAAAATGCTACTTAGACTCAAGATGTTACTTTGATCCAAATGTTATGTAGGTTCACAATGCTACCCAGCAACTAGGTTCAGAATGCTACTTAGGTTGTAGATGTTACTTGAAATGTTTTTTCTGCACCCCCATGCTTTCAGCCCACTACCCAGCAGAGCTGCTCAACCAAAGTGACACTGAACCCACTGCAGTGAGCTATGTGCAGCTTGTTTTTCTTTCCAGCAGAGGGGCAGAGTTGCTGACCTCTTTTGCCATCTACACCAAAAACTGATGAGCCAACACTTTGCCCCCTGAGCTTGAAGCATCAAAAAATCAAACAGAGCAATTTTTCAGCTGGTTACATTCTCAACAACATTTGAAACTGATCCAAAAACAAACTTGGGTGGCAGAAGTGCCTACAGCAACTTTAGCCAAAAGTAGGTAATGGCCCATCATCAGCTGCTACTTCTTTCTGTGCACTTTGCGTCTTACCTTCAGAACTCTCCTCTTGTTTTCAGCAAAGCCTTGAACTTCTCTACTTCCTCATTCAATTTCCTTGTTGAGTCAGCCTGGTCGGTGATGAAAGCTCGAAAGTTGGTTGGTGTCAAAGGGGATTCATCTGGCAGCTCCCTCTTCCAGGCCAGGACATACTCATTCTTCTGTGACCAGTCTTTCAAAGCTTTCACTGTAGCCTTGAACTCCTGCTGGTCAGCCACTGAAGAACACTTGTTGAGCAGCTTCATGGCTGTGGCATGCAACTTTTCTTGTGCGTTTTTAGCATCTTGGAGAGTTGTGATCATCTCTTTGGTCAAGCCCACATCCTCGACTGCCCTATTCTGCCCTGAGCTAGATGATGGAGCTCCACCACCAGTACCCCCATCACACAGCTGCTGGTCACCAAAGCTCCAGGAAAGGGTTTTGAAGGCTTTGCTCAGTGCCTGGTACTGGGAGCCATCCAGCTTAACTTCTTTGGCACCAATCTTGGTAGTGTCTTGCCTTGCGTTTTCAACTCCTGCCTTTGTCTTTCTGCAACCACAGAAAGGAACACCATCCTGTTGCCACTGTTGAACACTGCCATTCTGGATGGCCTGATCCAAGGCCTCTTTGTTGCCATGGAACACTTGGTACAGAAACACATCCTTTGGTGTTCCCTGCTGTTCATCTTTTCCATACCTCTTATGGAAAATCTCTTTCTGCTGCTGGAACCAAGGATCTTCTGCACACATAATGTAGCCTCCACTTCCATCCTCTTTGAAGAGCTTGTTAATCAATTTGGTCTTGAACTGTCGTGGTTTGGGATGCTTGGCAGCTTCTTTGCTAAACATCTCCCAAATGTGGTCAGGAATGGCACCTGCATCTGCCATTTTTCTTGAACTTCTTGGATTTGCCTCTCTGCCTCTTCTCCTGCTCTGTGTCATTCTCATCATCACCATCTGATGAGCCAGAAGAAGAGATCTGTTTTGTTCCCTTTGTTCCCACTTGTTTCCATTTCTCTGTTTTTGCAAGGAGACTTTCTTTCTTCTCTTTTTCATCATCTCCTGTGGCAGCAGCAGGCCTTTTCATCTTCTTTTGCACTGCTTTCTTCTCTTCTTTCTTCTTTACCTGTTTCTCTCTTTTCTTTGTTTTTTTTGGCTTTGGCGTTGGCTTTGCATTGTGTGCACTGTCCTCTGGTTCTTCCTCCTTTCCCTCTGTGTTGTCACCAGGTTTTGTTTCTTCATCTCCTGGTTCTGCAAATAAGCTGTCTTTGTCATTATTCTCATCAGAGCCAATGGCTTCATTTGAAGTCTTTGCCTTTGCTTTTGGTGAAGCAGAAGGTGGCAAGGCCAGGGTTGTGCCATCCCTGGCAGAAGCAGGCCTCTTCTTGGGTGCCATGCCAAAAACGAATTGGATGATAGAATGTGAAATCTGTGGAACCAAAACAATGTGAAGGTGTACCATGAAAGTGACGAAAAAAGTGTGTGGTGTTCATGTGTGTGTGGATGTGTAGCAGTGCAACAGATGCAACCAACAATGGGTAGCTCTGGAATCTATCAATACCAACAATGTGAAAAGTTGCAACTGAAGCATTCATCTGGGAGCCAAAAAAGGTGATAACTCATCTTGGCCCATGCTGTGCCCACTAGTTAGTTTGTACACTGTCAGCTGTTTTCATTAGAAAGAAAGCTGAATATTTGAATCATTGATACCAAAGCAATGTGTGAAATGGGATCATTCTAACTTGTTTTTGATGATTCTTTGGTGACACTTTGAGGCCTGTTTGGTGCCACTTTGGTTCCCTCTTATCAAAGTGACACCAAAGTGTCACTTATAGGTGCCACTTTGGTGACACTTTGCAAAAGTACCCCCAAACTGTCACTAAAGTACCCCCAAACTGTCACTAAAAAATCTTCAAAAAAAGTTAAAAATATACTGTATGTGAAATTAATATAAACATTGAGCTAATTACCATTTAACAAGGTATTGTTTCCAACACAATGCACTTGGATTCCTACGATAGTACTTAGCCAGATTGTGACTTAGCTCAACCCCATCTGGAATGTGACCTAGTTCAACTACATGACAATATCCATCTAGATTGTGACTTAGTCCAAGGAACTAATGTTACTTAGAGTAAGGTGAAGCCATCCAGTCCTGAAACCAAAAGATGTTACCTAGCCACTTTGAAAAATGTTACATACCCAAGGTTGTAACTTACCCAAGGCCAAGCAGCAGTGCTACGTAGTCAGATTGCAAAATGTTACTTAATTGCAATATTACTTATCCCAAACCAAGTTGAGACCTTATCCAATGCAGTTCCAAAACAGCAAGCCACTGAGAACAAGCAGCAAAATTTTCCAGCTCTGCCACTGCACTCCAGGTTCTCACCACTGGGTCCTGGCACAAGTGCTGAATCAAAGCAAGCAAACAGATCAAAATTGGAACTGAATTACGCACATCAGACATTTCTCCTCACTGTTGGGCTTTGGCCCTGTCCAATGGGCATCACACCTCCTGCAGAAGCCAACAACAAATATAATCAGTTAAAAAGAAACTCAGTCAATTTCAGTCCTTGCTCTTCTTCGAGAACACTCATCTCTTGCTCCATCTGCAAGTAGTCAGCTAAGGATTTGCCAGGGCCTGCAAAGAACCATCCCTTCCCCAACAAAATAACAAAGACATGCATACAAACATTTCAGCAACTGTCATCTCATGTTGCCTCCTTTGCCACCATACTTTGGCAAAGTTCCAATGTAGTAGGGATCTTGGCCACCTGCCCAAAGAAATGCAAACTTGCATTTTGATTCCAAACATTTCAGCAACTGACATCTCATGTTGCCTCCTTTGCCACCATACTTTGGCACATTTCCAAAGTTGTAGGGATCTTGGACACCTGCACAAAGAAACGCAAACTTACAATTTGATTCATCAAGCATGACTGCAATCAAGAATTCCTTGTTAGTGCAAACAAACCTACCTCCCCTGTCCATGGAAGACACCATTCCCTTCTTTCCTTGTCCCTTCGTGTCTCCTTAGTTGGTTCCAGGCATTGTCTTAAATAGCAACTCCTGCAACAACACTTGCCAATCAAACTAACATTACATAAAACAACACATCAGCATTGCCAAAGTCACATGTGACAAGCAAACACATATATTGCTGCCAAGATGCTGTGCACAAAGATTCCTTCCATTGGAGGGGCTTTCACTGGTGGGCGGTCCTGCTGGTTGAGGGAAGTGCACATATACCTGATGGCCCACTCCCTGCAAAGGCCACATTCTAAATGGCAACATGGGCATCGCAGAAGGACAAGATTGCCTTCCTCATCTTGGGTATACCCATGGTACCCCTTGTGTTTGATGCCTTGCCCCTTGCAGGTTCCTGTGTGATCCCTGCTGGCAATCTCCGTGGCTTCAGCCACTTAAACATACATGGCTGGCTCAAGAGAAAAAAACAGGTGACAGCTAGAGCTGGTTTTCCTTTGAACCAAAAAATTGAGCAAAACGTTTTAGCAATTCAATCATGTCAACAACATGTCTGGGCACCACACTTCCATGTGACTCATGTGACAAGCAAGGAGAAGCAAATGTTACTTAATCTCAAAGCACCATATTAGTTAGATTGCTCCAATTTGCTACTTAACCACATGCTACTTAGATCAAAATGTGCCAATGATACATTAGATTGTTTAAACCTGTTACTTAACCACATGCTACTTAGATCAAAATGTGCCAAGGATACATTAGATTGTTTCAATTTGTTACTTAGCCACATATTACTTAGACCATCAATGTTGCAGTGGCTAGCTAACATCATCACACACCCCCAGTGCTGCACTTTTTTCTCACCACTTCCACTCAGTCTTCCTCTTCCTCTTTCACCTCCTTCTTAAGTTTCTTCACTTCCACCTTTGCTTCTTGCAGCTCCCTCTTCACCTGAACCCTCTGCACTGCATCCTCTGTCTCCTTTTTCACTTCTCCCACAGCTGTTGGAGGTTCAGAAGTAGGAGTGTGTGAGCTTGGAGATCGTGTTGGAGACCTGGCAACCTCAGTAGGTGCCACTGGGGATCCCACAACAGTCTCACCCTCTGTGGGAGAACCAAGCTCCACTTCTTGGCCAGCATCAACCTCCTTGTCCACAAAAAAGTTCAGGAAAGAACCACCTGCTTGCACCCCCACATCTATTGTTGTTGGCCTCGAAGTAGAAGAGCCAGCATCAACCTCCTTGTCAAAAAAAATCAGGAAAGAACCACCTGCTTGCATCCCCACATCTGAAGGTGCTGCAGGATGTGCTGCAGATCCAGGTGGCACACCAGGTACTGAAGGTGATGCAGGATGTGCTGCAGGTACTGCTTGTCCAGGTGGAGGTCCAGGGTTGTCCCTACCCCAGATCACAGTAACCCTTTGCCCCCACATATAGGGCCTGTGTTGCAAAATGGCCATAGCATCTTGTGCCACATTGGCACTGCTATAGCCCACAAAGCAAGACTGCTTCGTAGCCTCAGCCCCCCTCTGCCGGAGTTGAGTGGGTAGTTTCCCAAAGCCACTGCCTCACATCATCATGGCCATACCCAGTCCACATTCCACCAATGTAGAGCTTGTACAAAGGAGGTTGCCGAAGTAGAGCCATGGCTGGACAAAAGAACTTTGGAAGCTGAAGTGGAGTAGAAGAATTTGAAAATGGTGTCCCACATGTGGTGATGTGACACATGTGTGATGTGACCAATCATGTCAAATCCTGGTGCATGCCTTGTGAACTTGAGGGCTTTGCTTCTGTGTGTGCTTGTGGAACCCACATGTGCAGATGCTTAGAAAGGAAGTGTGGCCTGGATTTTAGATCTGAGCTTTCTTTTCTTGAGCAAATTAAACCCACTTGTCTTTCTTAGGCACACTTGTGCTTCTTTGAGCAAACAAATGCTTGAACATAGAGTGCCTTTTAAAGCTAGGGGAACTACTTTGTGACACCATGCTACTTAAACACCAAATGCTACTCAGATTGCCAATGCTACTTAGGGTCCAAATATTACTTAGGCTGCAAATGCTACTTAAATTCAAAATGTTACTCAAATAGCAAAAAATGTTACTTAGGCTCAGGATGCCACTTAGGCTGCAAATGTTGCTTAAGTTCACAATGTTATTCAGCAACTAAGATCAGAATGCTACTTAGGTTGCAAATGTTACTTAATACCAAAATAATTCTAACAATGCTACTTAGATTCAGGATGTTACTTAGAATGCATATGTTACTTTGGCTCTTTGACTGCACATGTTACTCAGACTCAAAGCAACAAGCAGAAAACTTCGACACAAGTGCAGACAACTCAGACAACTCAGTTTTTCCCAGAAAACTTTCACACAAGTGCAAGCAACTCAGCTTCAAGCAGCACAACACATTTTTCAACTCCATGCTCAATGCACATCCTACCAGGCTTGTTGCCTGTCACCTCTCAACCTTCAAGAGGAGCATCAGGATCCTTCACCAGGCCAGCATCGATCTCTTCTGCTAATTTCCTGCTAGCAGTTCTGCCAGCTGCCCTAGCATTCTCAGCAGATTCCCCTTGTTGAAGAGCTCTGGTTTTAGCTCTGTGGTAGGCTGAGGAAGTGGCTCGGTGTCTGAAGGTAGTTTTCTTTCCTGCTTTTGTTTTTTTCTTTCCATTGCCAGCTGGCTTCTTCTTACTGCTCTTGCTTTTCTTCTCTTTTTTTTGGTCACAGCTTTTGCAGCTGCTGGTTTCTTTTGTGCAGGGATCTGAGAACTTAGAATTTCCTCTACCACTTCCAAATCATCATCTGACAAAACTTCTGTGCAAAGATGGGAAATCTTCTGCTTCTTTGGGCTGCTGGAAGGCTTATTTCCTGTGCTGTCCTTCTTCTTTCTTTTTTTCACAGGGCTAGGCTTCGAATTTTCTGATACTGTGTCATCACCTGGAACACACAAGCCAGCTTCACCTGTCAAAAAGAAGGCATTCTTCCTTTGAAGCTTGACTGAGTCAGTACTTTGAGCACCTGATCCATGCCCAACTGGTTTTGGAAGTAAACCATGAGAATACTGCACCTGCTTCTTCTGATCAGGGCTGCTGTCTTGCTTGGACAATATCTTTCTGAACATATTCTTCTTGGGGCTGGAAGGCAAAGAACCAATCTTGCCAGGAGCATAAGGCACCATAGCCAACTGAGAAGAATCACCAATTTCATCACCAACTGTTGCTGTGCTTGAAGGTGCATCCACACACAATAGGCTCAAGGTTCTATCTATGCAAAGCTTCTCTTCAGGTGTTGCTTTCTTCATAAGCCTTTGGTATTCATATGGATTGTTTTTGACAAGGCGGTACTGTGACATCACAATCCTAATTCTTTCATCACACTTGTCAGCAAAGTCAGAAATGTTTGACCTGCTCT